CGGCTAATTTTTTGATTTATTGTAGAGATGAGGTCTCGCCTGCCCAGGCAGGTCTCGAACCTGCGGGCTCAGGTAATTCACTCTCCTTGGCCTCCCAAAGTGCGGGATTACAGGCTGAGCCACTGAGCCCGGCCCCCCAGCTTCTTTCTCATGTCATCTTCTTGTCACTCAACTCTCCTGCTCGCCTCTGTGACCATGGTCTGTGCCATCACTCCCCTTCTCCACTGCTTCCTCCACTGTCTCCCGGGCACCCCTGGTCTCCTGCTGAACAAAGTCAAACAGAGAACCCTCTGCATCCTGCAACCCCTTCACCTAACTGCTACATGTCTTTTTTTTTTGAGTTGGAGTACCACTCTGTCACCCAGGCTGGAGTGCAATGGCACGCTCACAGCCACCGCAGCCTCAACCTACTGGGCCCAGGTGATCCTTCCATTCCACCTCAGCCTTCTAAGTAGCTGAAACTACAGGTGTGTGCCACCATGCCCCACTAATTTTTTATTTATCGTAGAGACGAGGTCTCACCACGTTGCCCAGGCTGGTCTCGAATCCCTGGGCTCAGGCAATCCTCTCGGCCTCCCAAAGTGCTGGGATTACAGGTGTGAACCACTGCGCCTGACTAACTGCTACATGTCTTTCCATTGCCCTCCCACCGCCCACCCCACAGTCCCTGCCATCTGAATCCTGTGCCATCATTCCTGACCCTGCTCTTGCATCTGCTCAGAAGAAAGTCACAGTCAGTGACAGGGAGGGTACATCATCGGAAGTTTCCTCTCAACCAGACCTTGACAAATGGGTAGGATGTGAACGCTGACATATTAAGAGGCAATCCAGAAAAGGCCAGAGACAGAGCAGCAGCTGAGTGGTAAGGACAGAACAAGCAACTCAGCTGGGCTGATGCATAAGGGACATGTAGGGCAGTCATTCCCAACCAGGGATGATTTTGCCTCCAAGGGACACTTGGCAACGTCCAGACACATTTCTGGTTGTCTGACTCAGGGTGAGGGAGTTACTGACATTTAGTGAGTAGCGGCCAGGGATGCAGCTAAACACCCAACAATGTATAGGACAGTTCCCGACAAAGACATCTCCAGCCCTAAAAGTCAACAGAATGGAGCTTGAGAAACCTGGATGTAGGGCCATAGCTGAAACAGCTGACTAGAATTGAAACTGAAGGGCTCCAAATGCCAGTGTTGGGAGTGTAGCTTTGATCCTGAATGAAACAGAGAAAAACAGAAAGCTCTTGTGCACTGAAGCATCCCAATCAGCTGGAAATTTTAGCTAGATAAATCCAGCAACTATGGATAAAATGGATTGGAGACATGAGAAACAGAGGGCAGGGAGTGCTGAGGGAGTAAATGCAATGGTCCAGGCAGTTCACGTGTGTGGCAATGAAAGAGGACCTGATGTAGGCTGATGGGGACATAAATAAAATTAGATGAGAGAGACATGGAGTGTGTAACATGATTTTTTTTTTTTTTTTTTTTGAGTTGGAGTCTCACTCTGTTGCCC